GGTACTGTGTTTCGCACCTCCAGAGCCACATCTCCACTCATCTTTCAGCGTGCAGGCACTGTACTTCCCTCCTCCAGAAGCACATCTCCACTCATCTTTCGTAGATTAGGCATTGTACTTCCCACCGCTAGAGCTCATATCCGGCTAAGCGGTTTCCCAGAATCCAATCATGGATATTATACCATGGTTGCATTCCACGGTATTAATATTGTTTTAATTTTTAACATTCAATGTTAAAGGCAACACAATTCAAATGAGCAGCTGAACTACAACAACCACACTCCTCCCCGAGAGTACAGGACCTGTATTTCCCACCTCCAAGACTCAAATCCGACTAACTGCTAACCGGTTAGCTTAAATTCCAGCATATGTGTTATGCTGTTCACTCCAAAAGCACGTCAAGCCATAACAAAATATCTGTCTCTACTTACCCCGCTCTAACACGCTCACATAAGGCTGGTTGTTCAAGGTCATACTACTCAAAACCCCTTTCATCCCCTCCCTTAAATCTTTCCTCAGACGGCCCCCTACTCCTTCCTTCCACCCCAGACGTTCAACACCTTACTGCTTTATAGTTTCTAAATGCAAAAACTGCCGCAAAACCCAGCCTTATTATTTCGTAACCCTGCACCGTCTTCTAGTTTCTATGTTTCATATGCTCTGCATAATATTCATACCAAATATTACTCTTAAACAGTGCCTCCAGCTTCCTTCTTAATGCAGTGTTTAAAGCTCATGCCTTACCATACCCCCGGCCGGGATTGAACCCGCGGTCATAGAGTCTCAAAACTCCAGCCCGTCGCGTTAGCCACTAGACCAGCTAGCCACAATAAGATTCATCCAACCTTCCTATGGTGTAGAAATATACCTAGTTGGATGAATCTTATTGTGGCTAGCTGGTCTAGTGGCTAACGCGACGGGCTGGAGTTTTGAGACTCTGACCGCGGGTTCAATCCCGGCCGGGGGTATGGTTTGTTTGCAATCGTGTCATTACGATTTCTTAACTCATGCCTTACCTTTTCTTCTTCTATAGATAAAACTCTTTCCACATATCTGTTTCTACTACCTGTTTCTCGTCGTCTGTTCTGTTTCACCTCATAGGCCCAAATGTCCACTTCCAAAAATCTACATACATGCACTTCCTCCATAATCCCTCCTTCTAATCAGATGTTCAGTTTTTCTTTCCCTATATATTTTGTTACTCTCATCGTTTTGCTCTTTTCTATTCTCACTTTTAATTTCCTTTTACACACATTCCCAAACTTCACCAAATTTTGCAAATTTCTTTGAAATATCCCAAGAAAATGTGTCGTCAGCAAAGAGCAGATGTGATAACTCAAACTTCGTGTCAAATTCATTATCTTTTAGTCTCACACCTTTCCCCAACACTCTAGCATTCACTTCCTTGACAACCATGATGACATCACACATAAGTTTAAAGCCCAGTTCTACTGGAAAATAATCCCCTTCTGTCCTACATACTCTAACCTGAACCTCACTCTCTACATGCAAACTCCTCACTGAGTTTAGTAATCTACTGCGTATTGCATACATCTGCAACAAACCATACCACCGGCAGGAACTGAACTCGTGGCGAGTCGTAAAACTCCAGGCCAACGCGTAAGCTACTGAGCCAGCTGGCTATGGCGTGGTATAGTTTGTTTGCACTCGTGTCATTATGATTTCGTGAGACATTTGCAACGTTCTACTACTACTACTACTACTACTTTTTCTTCTTCTTCTTCTTCTTCTTCTTCTTATTATTATTATTATTATATTAAAGGGGCAGCAAGAAACCATTTAAGGTGATAAAATGACTGGAAAACTGGAGGTAATTATATATGATCCGAGGAAGGGAAGAGTAATTCCTATTCCTTAGATCAAGAGCTCTTCACTAATATCAAAGTAAGTCTGTTGGATGACTTTAAACCTAATAAACATTGTAGTCGAGATGTGAATAGCCTAAAGGTCAGTCAGCACAATCATGCCACCCGTACCGGGGTGGTCATTTTTTTCTGTCCCAGTGAGTTCTCTGATCGTTCAAGTTAAATTTACTGAACATCCCTTCATGCTGGCTATTTCCCGACTTCTCTCTACATTTTAATTTATGTTTATACGTACTTTAATGATGTTCTGATGGAGTATACTCTTATTTGAGATTAAGCCTCTTATTAGTTACTCATATTCGTGGAGATCAAGTATGGTGTATTTTTAATGGGTTCTGTTATCTGTTGGTTCGACGCAAACTTTTCATCGATCCGGAAGGCTCTCTGGCACGTATCTGTTGGGCCAACAGGCTTCCAGGTATCATCGTTCACTGCTGTCGTCCACAATCTCTCAGTAACATTTAGAAGATTGGAATCTCCGAAGAGGATACTATTCGGTGTAGAATTTTCAAGGCAGCTATGTATCTTCGCTATGTATCTTCCTTATCTGTTCTATGAATTTCTATGCAGTTACTGAGGGTTATTTATAAACAAGGTTAATTACTAGATTCTTGTTCTCCACTCTACTGTATTATTTGAGGATTTCAAGACTTCTGTATAACAAAATGAGTCTCTAACACAGAGTTTTAGTCCTTGTGTGACTTTTTTTAATCACACCTATATAATGTATATACATTGTACTTTTGCTCCTCTATCTTACTGTCCAAAAAAAAAATATTTGTCTGTGAGCGCTGCTAATATTGCATTAGCTTCTTTGAGGCGCCCACTTAATATAGTCGACCCTCTGTATTCCGATGCACCTTCATTCATAAAATCCAGTATTTCGAAGAAAAAATGGAGAAAAAAAAGTGCCGATATTCGCAAATGTCACTAGATTCGGAACGACCCACGCTTTTTGATCTCTTGTGATTCAGTTTTTTGTAACTTGGTGTTATTTTTATTTTATTATTGAAATAAGTGATCATGGCCCCGAATAAGAATAATGAAGGAAAAAACTAAAAAAAACTGTAAGAACCACTAATAAACTAAAAAGGGGACTTCAAAACAGAAAATGGAATACGTCTTGGTGACCAAAACAAGGAATATGGCATGTCAACATATACCGTATTTTCCATTATAAAAAATAAAGGTGCAATAAAAAGTGCTAATGTGGGAACAGGGGTTAAATTTCTTGCAAGGTTCATGTATGATTTCTTGCTTGTACATGTTATTTTACAAGTTTAATTAACCAATATTCTGACTTAAAAATGGGTTGTGAAGAGTACCTTTCGGGGTCTGGAACGAATTAATCCAATTTCCATTATTTCCTATGGAAAAAACTGATCCAGTATTCAGAAAATTCAATATTCAGAACACTCTCGGGAACCAATTAATTCCGAACACAGAGGTTCTACTGTACAGTGAAATTTAATTTCTGTATGTTTTTAAATTTGAATATTACAAAAAAGAAAGTTTTACCATTTGTGATGTTTGAGTTTTGTTAATTCCTCTGTCTGGTATTGTATCATCTTGCAGTATGGAAGAATGAGACACTTGTGCAATATTTAGGTATCTTTATTATGGGTACGTTTTGCCAGTCAGAGGCTTCAGTCCAATACAGAGAAGATCGGTGAAAGAGGAGTAGTATGAGGTAATTAGTCCCTCAGCCTGTAGTAGATGTGTTAGTCCATCTATCTTGAGAAATGTACCGAATGATAGACTGAACACATCGACTCCAGACTGAGGGACTGATTACCTCATACTACTCCTCTTTCACCGATCTTCTCTGTATTGGACTGAAGAAGCCACTGGCTGGAGAAACGTCTCCACATTAAAGATTCCCAAATGTTGCACGAGTGTCTCATTGTCTGTTTTCTAAAGGTAAGGTTTGTCAATAAATAGGATAAGTGTTTCCTGACGCGGGTCTTAGTTATATAAGATGACTCGCAGCTGGAGTTTTTGGTCATCTGATCGAGGCCTTCCGCTGGCTTACCAGTCCACCTTTTAAAAAACTGTTATGATTTTGTTTTCTAAATAAACCATTTACATTACATATACCCCTCAAGGAAGGTTCCTTGATGTTGGTGAGGGGCTCTTGATTTAGGGAATTGGATCTGTGCTCCAGTTCCCCGAATTAAGCCTGAATGCCTTCCACATCCCCCCCCCAGGCGCTGTATAATCCTCCGGGTTTAGCGCTTCCCCCTTGATTATAATAATAATAATACATTACATATTGTAATATACCTCTTTGTGTAGCACTTGTTCCTGGCCTCTGTAGTACTAGTTGTGGATGTGACACTGTGATAAAACTGGTTCGTTGTTCTTTGTCACTGCTTTCATTGTTCGAGTTTTTTCCTCGTTTAGATCGTTTCACTCTCCTCTAAAAGAAATCTTTGTCATGTATTCGATTTTTTTTTTGCATCTGTTCTTTTCACTTGCGGTTTGAGGCAACTCACATCATAATATTTTCTGGTATGTACTGCTGATCTGAACAATCAACAAGTGTTCATTAAGACTTGTATAATTAAATGCATAACCCCAAAAATGAATGTTCATTACAAACTAACTCAGTGTTACCTCTATTATTCAATATTCATTATTAGTCAATGAAAATAAAACTTTGTGCTTTTCATTATTTATATAAATTATTATTATTATATTTACAGGAAAGTTCTAAAGTCGTAAGGGTCATACAGCGCCAGGATGGGAAGGATAACTGCAATTAATTCCCTTCACCAACATCAAGGTGCGTATATATATATATATATATATATATATATATATATATATATATATATATATATATATATATATATATATATAATTAGCAATTTAGAGTTGATATTGTAAGAGTTTTGGTGGGTTTCACTTCCATAACTACCATCCCAGTTGATCGACAAATAACCTTTTATTGTTGATAATTTCTTGCTGCGTGGGAAGAAAACCATGTAATCTTATTTACTCCGAAATCTGTGGTATGCTGAAAAAATCAGGTCCATACTTATACAAAACAACTTCAAAGCTTGATCTATAAATTACTAGAGAAAATGGACACTTGGGCGGTGAAAAACTTACCCATGCAGCATACCAGGAGCGCCGTCCACAGAAGCAGCCTCATAGTAACCCAGATTCTTGTCCGGTGGTAGTAATAGTAGTCAGGAGCAGCAGAACATGGGCAACAGTGGCTCTTGTGTTCACTTCGTGTAGTGAGTAGAACAGTCTTACCTCTAGCCGTATAGGCAAGTTTTTTGTTCTCAACCTTCTAGTCTCCTGAGAACTGGTTGCTTCCTGGACACCTTACAAAACTGCAACAGAAAAAAAACCGTGTCAGTGGGACGATTTCCAATATACAAAAAATATTAACTGCTACGGATGAATTCTGGGTATGCCTAGCACTTCCGGCTGCACTTATAGTTCTTTCAGAAACCAGTTTCACAGAAACTTGTATAAGGAAATGTGAAAACACTCTTTGAGATTTTCGGAATGCTTGAGGCATTACGAATGAAAAAGAAAATAATTATATTTGATTCAATTTGATTCTAAACGAAAAGACTAATATACCAGTCATAAAATATCAGGTTATGGATTTCTTTTGAATACAACAACAACAATTAATAATAATAATAATAATAATATTATTATTATTATTATTAATCACAATCTCATGGTGTCTGCAACAGGTTATTTCGGCCAAAAAGCATATGTTGCTATGAGTGATAACCTGTCACTTAAGTCTTAATTAAACTAGAGTAACCAGCGATGAACAACAAAAATCTTAACCGCAACACTGTTCTTAATATTTAAATCAAAACACGACACTGACCTACAGTAATAAAAATAGCCCAGCGTAGGAAACGGAATAAACTGTTTTCATAACTGAAAAAAGGTAAAACACAGGTGCACAGCTATCGTGAATCTCAGCAGCTGTGTCAGGGCTCCGAATTTTAAGAATAAGCCGAACATCAACATAGTCTCAGTACATCGTAGACCATTATTAGGGAGCGAGAGTAGATAAATGGAGAAAGGTGAGGCAGATGGAGGTGATGAGGCGCCCAGTGTTAGGTCAATTATCTGTGTGTGTTGGAGATTAGAACATTGGATTGAAATGGTTATAATCATAATCATATTTTTTAAGGGGGTGGACCGGTAAGCCAGTGGAAGGCTTTGGTCAGATGACCAAATGCTACAGCTGGGCCATCATATGACTAAAATTCCGCGTCAGGAAACACTTGTCCTGTTTCCTGACAAATCTTACCTAATCTAACCTAAGATTAATGTTAGGTATTTTGAGTTTAAGGCCCGAGTCAACATGACTTTTTTGTTAATTATTATATTTACGGAAAACGCAAATCTTGGGTCATGTGGGCCCCTTTGGGAAGGGAGAAGAAATTTCAGGTTAGATCCAAGGAAAGCGGGAGAAAATTTAAAACATTGGATAAAGGGAGACCCTTACCAGGATAAAGGAAACCCTCTCTTCAGGGGAGGGTTGGGGAGGACTCAAAGGGAAGGGAAAATACAAAAATTTTTGGGAAAACGCCCAAAAAAATCTTTGAACACGAAGAAGCGTTTCACAGTTTTTTAAGTAGGGGGGGAAAAAAATTTAATTTAGTAATAAAAACATTTTTTTTAAAAAAACGGGCACTAAACCTGCATTTTCCCTACGGTAAATAAAGGAAGTAAAAGCAAAAAAGTCAACAGCCACCCTGTTTAAAACATGTTGGAGGGACTGATCCCGGGCCCACATCCTTTTTGGCTTGGGGGAAAATTGTTTTTATCGAAAATTTGGGTTATTTAAAACGGTCTGTGGCGAAAACACTATGCATTTAAAAATGAACTAATGTTTTATTGCGTAAAAATTATAAATGTTTTCCCTGTTGTATTACCCTCGTTTTGGAAGGCGGATGCTCGCTGGTTTTTTGGTGCCCCAAAATCACTGGTAAACTTATGACCCAAACACTAGGATATATTTATTAGAAAACGTTTTCGGGATATGCCCTAGTGTTTGCACTTTTGGTTTTTTAAAACTAATTTCCCGGGTATAATTTTCCAAGGGTTTATCCCAAACGGGCCCAAAATTTATATTAGGTTTCCCAGGAAAAACTCAGTATGTTTCTTTTTGTTAAAGACACGGGCAAAAAGGGAAAACCTTGACCACAAAAATGTTTCGGAGGGGAAAATTTTTTTTTCTGAAAAAGTTTAGTTCAGACTTGAAACAGGGTTTTTCGAAATAAAGTTTCCATTCACCCTTAGTTTGTTATCGCTTTGGTCTGTTTTGCTTTTTTCTTTCCCCTAGGTTTCGTTGGGAAAACCCTTAAAAAGTCCCTTGTCGGGGGGTAAACACGGTAGTACTTTCCCAACCACCCAAGAAAGGTAAAAAAAAAAACGATCTGTTAAAATGTTTTGTACTCTGGAAATAGGTCGGTTTTAAAAGGGGGAGATAAAATCTCTGTAAAAAACTGTGCCTTTTTAAATTTGTTTTTGGGAAACTTTTGAAAAGTTTCCCCGGGGTCTTTTATTTGTTCACAAAGCCAAAATGGAAAGGGGTTTTAGCGTAAAAAACTTTACTTTCATTCAGGAAACATTTATCAAACTTTTATGTTTGTCGTTTGATAGTTTTTATTCCTTTTAATATTTCTTGTGTAACTTACGGGTCCTGACTGAGAGGGGGGGCCGGGGGGGGGCTAGATCTTCGAAACCCTTTAAAACAGTTTATATATAATATATATATTTATTTTATAAAATATATATAAAAATAAAATTTTTATATATATATAATTTATATAGAAAAACATTCAAAAAAATTCGATAGAAAGTAAAACAACTTTGGGTTAACCCCGGAGCTAATCTGGGAATATTTTCGTCCAGCCCCCCCCCCCCCGGGGGGTGGGCCGCGTCCCGGGGAAATGCTGCAGGCATTTCTCTCTGGTTCGCAACCTGGTTCTGAAAGGGGGAAGCTGGTGGGCCCTGTGGCCCGGGGGTTTTCTAGGGATGGATTTTCACCAGCTCTATTATGAATTTTTGGAGACACTTCCCCCATGCTCCAAGGGTCCCCGCCCCTTTTGGGGGTTAAAGTTATAGAAGGGGGAAAGGTTTTTCCTGTTTGCGGTTCTTTGGGCCCTCCCTGGGCTGGCGCTCCCCCCCTTCCATTTAAGGAGTTTGGAAAGTGGGGTGTTCCCAATGTGGGGGCCCACATGTGAAAGTCCCGGGCCCAATCTGCTTTCCATCCTTCATATATATATTTATTTTATATATATTATATAAAATTTATTATTTATTATATATATTTATATTTATTTTTATTTATATGGGGAAACCACCTCGGAAACTGGACTGAGGGTCCTCATCAACGAGAAAAAAAAAAACCCTTTCTTCAGGGAAAACTTGGGGGTTCCCCCCGAAGCTGTTTGATATTTTTTTTCTCCTCCCCTTCCCCTATATTCTATATTCTTTGTCAAATTTTTTTAAAAAGACAAAAACTTTTAAAAAAATTTAACAATAGGGAGTAGAAAAAAAACAAAAATCCATCTCAAAGTTTTTACATCTCGAATCCCTGTTCAGCCCCCGGGAAAGTGGGCCGCTTTAACCCCGTGTCTAAATTTGCTAAAGGCTTTTTTTCCTGTGGTTCCGACATTGAGTCCTGAAAGAGGAAGCGGGCCCGCTCTGTGATTTTTTGTTACCGTGACGGGGCTTTTCCCCCCACCTCTTGGGGAACTTTAGAGACAATTCCCCCCATGCCCCAAAGGGGGTCTCTGCCCTTGGAACAGGGGAAGCGTTAAATCCGTAGGGTTAACACGGCCCGCGGGAAAAGAAAGGCGGAGTCGGGTTAGATTGACGGAAAGGATAAAGGGGTTTAAATTTCCCCGGGCTCAAACCCCAAAATTCTTTTTTAAAGAAAAAGGGATAAAAAAAAAAGTACGGGGGAAATAAAAGGGTTATTGATTTTTTTCCCACAAAGTAGCTTTTTTTCAAGTCGTGATTAGGTTTTTTTTTTAATTTATTAAGTCGGTGACTTAACTGTCTGCTTAGAGCGAAACATTGTGCAGATAAACGCCCGTTCTACATGCTTGTGTCTCTTTCACACTTGAAGTAGAGCTCAGGAGCTACAGTTCAACCCAGGTGCACAGGTTAGTACACAGTCACTTGTTACTGTAACCAGGTCAACTTATAAATGTACTCATCCGCAATATTGTCGACATAACTCATAAAAATATATCGTAGTGTTTATGTTACAAACACAACAGTGGCTGGAACTCTCAACTTTTCCTCTACGACAACAAATAAAACAGAACAAAAACGATAATGCTGCACAAGGTACAAAAACAACACCGTTAGTGGAAGAAAGCAGTTTTTATCTCGCGATTAAACAAGTAAATGTCGAATGTCGCCTAACATTAGGAACACACACAATGATTGTCTTATTAACCATCATCCAATTATGTACACACACACACACACACACATACTATATATAATACAATATAATACTATATATAATATATAATATATATAATATATATATATATATATATATTCAAATCCCCAAAAAGAAAATGCTTTCATCATCATTCAACACTCACCACACTCGCACATAATCACTGTTTTTGCAGAGGTGCTCAGAATACAACAGTTTAGAAGCATACACATATAAAGATACACAACATATCCCTCCAAATTGCCAATATCCCAAACCCCTCCTTTAAAGTGCAGGCATTGTACTTCCCATTTCCAGGACTCAAGTCCGACTATATGAAAATAACCGGTTTCCCTGAATCCCTTCACTAAATATTACCCTGCTCACACTCCAACAGATCGTCAGGTCTCAAGTACCATTCGTCTCCATTCACTCCTATCTAACACGCTCACGCACGCTTGCTGGAAGTCCAAGCCCCTTGCCCATAAAACCTCCTTTACCCCCTCTCTCCAACCCTTTCGAGGACGACCCCTACCTCGCCTTCCTTCCCCTATAGATTTATATGCTTTCCATGTCATTCTACTTTGATCCATTCTCTCTAAATGACCAAACCACCTCAACAACCCCTCTTCTGCCCTCTGACTAATACTTTTATTAACTCCACACCTTTTCCTAATTTCCACACTCCGAATTTTCTGCATAATATTTACACCACACATTGCCCTTAGACAGGACATCTCCACTGCCTCCAACCGTCTCCTCGCTGCTGCATTTACCACCCAAGCTTCACACCCATATAAGAGTGTTGGTACTACTATACTTTCATACATTCCCTTCTTTGCCTCCATAGATAACGTTTTTTGACTCCACATATACCTCAATGCACCACTCACC